ATTTTTGTAAAAGCTGCCAAAAAGATGCCCACCCCAAACAGTATTCAGTACTTGTAAAAAAGTTTCAATTCGATCAAACATAGGGCCTCTGAGAAACGGGGCCGAAAAATGGGGTCATTTTCACCGATTGCGACTCCAATATCTCATGAAAGACAGCATGTGGAAACTTTGAGTCTAGCATAACTTTTCATATACTATAGAAAATCTATCTGCCACGAAAGTTTCAAAATTTTCTGATGAGCCATTCTCCAGAAACTCGGGAAAGTTGCTCTATTTCACATGTATTATGTAATTTCTTGTTGACATATACATTTCCTGCAGATATAGTGTCATCATTCTGATAACATTTCTTTTATGAACACACAAATCGTTGTGTATCTATCTTTTATCAAATATCTTAAGAACACTATTCAAATAATAAGACAGTATCCTGCAAAACTTTCCTTAAGATTGTTTCTTTGAAAATAGAATTCATTATTTTCCATGCTCTAGCTTTGATAGATTTCAGCCATTATTTGTTTGATATAATTAGGTATGTCATATGTTCAGTTCAGCAGTTCAAGATAGCTGATTAATCAGGTATTTTCATATCAGTTTAAGTTGATAGTTAAATCATTTGGTTATGATTGAAGTTACAAATAAAAATTAATGTCAACGAAACTTATGTTGCTATTCAAATGAAAGAATTATATCAGCTTGAATAACGAAATGTTAGTGTTAAAAATTAGATTAAGAAATAGTAATTACTATCGATACAGCCATAGGTGAGAGAGAAGTAGGAGACGTAATATTAAATTGACGAGAGAATCTTTTCAATTTCAACTCATTTTTGCCTATAAATATTAAATACTATTCTAATAAAACCTATAAAAAGATTTGGATTTCTATTGAGATTTGACTATGCTATCAAATTTTCATCTGAAACTTTACGCACATAGATCATTTTCCAAGGATAATGGACTGTTAGAATGCTACATATTATAACATTTTAAATATATATTTATAATCAAATATCAGTTTGTATTTTGAAACGAAATCTATTTAATTCATTCTAATTTATTTTAAAATAATTCTAAAATTAAAAATCTTTCTTCATTCTTAACTGAAAGTTAAAATAATTGACTCAAGAAATTTTCAAATCGAATTCGACTTCATAAAAATTCTTATTTCTATAAATACTTGATACACTCTAGTAATGCTTACCGATATGTGTTTTCATTAAAAAGTACTTAGCAGTAGTACACACTTAGGATGTGAATGTATAGAAAATTCACGCCTACATCCAACTTCATTAGGAGAACTTCACTTGATAATTCTCTTGAGCACTTTGATTTCTACGTTGACACTTATTTCATACAAATAATAATTATTTCAAAAGACCACACCATTTCTAATAGGATTAAAAGCAAGTTGCTCTGCACTATATCGTCTATTTGAATACGACGATTTACTGAACATGCATGCTACTAATGAGAGGAAACCATCCGAGACGATACATCAAGTTTTAAATAAGATCCCAGTTATTATGTAGGGGGCATGTTGAGACTAGAAGAATTCTTCTCCATGTACTGCTCTTTTGAAGTTATGATAGTTACACTCAATTTATTACTTTTGGGATGGTAGAATCTCCGAAAGATTTCAGCCAAAAAGAGTAATCTCTTCTCGAGATATCAAAATCTACAAGAACAGTGTATGGAGAAGAATCCTTCTAATTTCAACAGATCTTACACAATGACTGAGGTCTCATCTCAAATGCAAGATATTACCTTAGGTGATTCCCTCGTAACCATTACGAAGTATACCAAATTTTTAAAGTAATTAGATAATCTATTCTATATTTATTCTTTAGGTTATTGGCTAGCTTTTAGAGATGGTGTCTATGATGTAAGTTCATTTGTTGTAAATCATCCAGGTGGTAAACAAATTCTAAAAACTGTTGGTAAACCATTAGAAGCTTGTTGGAAAATATTTACAATTCATCAAATTGAACATGTTTATGAAATATTAGAACATTATCGAATAGGAAATTTACCACCAGGTATTTAAAAACAAAATGACAAATATAATATATTGATTAATATATTTTGAAAAACAAAACTTTTCTAGGTGAAAGAGAAGCTAATGAAAAAAAACAAGAAGAAATTCTCGATTTATTTCAATATGATCCTGAACGATTAAATGCAATAGAAAATTTTTTTATTCGTTCCGAAAGACCTTTTAATGCTGAAACAAAACCTTCTATTCTTGTTTCATCATTTATAACACCTGTTGAAAAATTTTATATACGAAATCATATGCATGTACCATTTGTTAATATCAATCAATATAAATTAGAAATTAGTAATGAAAAATCAATTTATTCAATTTCATATGATGATTTAAAAGATAAATATCCATCACATACAATAACATCAGCTTTACAATGTGCTGGTAATCGTCGTAGTGGAATGAATAATGAACAACAAGGAACAGTACAAGGTACACAATGGTATGTTGGAGCTATTGGAAATGCTCGTTGGACAGGTATTAAATTACGTGATGTTTTGGAATCATTTGGTCTTGATAAAGAAGGAAAACATGTTCAATTTATTGGTCTCGATTGTGATACATCAGAAAGGTAATTTTTTTTAATAAGTTTATTTATAAACAATTAACTTCTTTTTTTTTCTAAAGATGTTATGGTGCATCAATTCCAATAGAAAAAGCACTTAGTGATGATGTATTACTGGCATATGAAATGAATGATGAAACATTAACAAGTGATCATGGTTATCCATTACGTGTACTTGTACCAGGTACAGTTGGAGCACGTAGTGTTAAATGGGTTAATCGAATTGTTGTTTCGGATAAAGAATCAGATAGTCATTGGCAAAAAGCTGATTATAAAGTTCTTTCACCATCTATAAAAGAACCACAACAAACTGATTATGATAAAACACCTGCTATACAAGAATCAAATGTTCAATCAGCTATTTGTTATCCAGCATCGAATGATGATGGAAATAAAGTTAAAATTTTATCAGTTAAACCAAATAATGATGATATGAA